CAGTTTTTGTCAAAAAATCAAGAGCAGCGAATACAATCTTATTTCAAAGTTATTTCAATCAACTCCCTTAGTTGATTTTTTATTTCAATTTGAATTGGAAGTTACTAAGATAGTGTTTTCGTTTTAGTTCAAGGGTCTTAGTCAATTCATATTTGTGTAAAAATCTCCTCGAATTTCCTATTACAACTAACAAAACATTTTACTCCCACAATTAAGTCCAAATTGTAAGTAAATTAATGATAATGGAACGCAGTTTTACAGTGTCACCCCTATGCGTTGAGTGCAACAACTAAAGAAAAGAAACAAGTAGGGTGATAAAGTTTGTAAAGAAAGTTAAGAATGGTAATTGGAATGGGTTGGAATTTGTACTCTAAATCAAACGGCTGCTGTAATTATAAATCCATATCTAATAACCGATATTCCAGTTTTGAAAGTAGGAAGTTGTTTATGTTTGTTGGGGGCGGCATCATGCAGTGTGCAGTGATTTAGAATTATAGTCAATTGGTATTTACATGTGTTATTTAATATTTCCTATATTTTGTGTGTGTGATATGGGCAGTTAGTTGTTCAAATCTGTGAAATGAATTAGTGAGCAGTCCCCTTTTAGGCATTCTTACGAACACATTGGATGCACCTAATTTACTTTCTGCGCAAAAAATTGTTTGGGGACCTGTGAGAAGATCTTAAACTATACACGTTCAACTAGTGGTGGGATTTGAGTTAAAATAAAAAACATAATAAGTAGTATTTGCAGCCGTATATTATAAGAACTTTGGTATGAGTAGGAACACAAAACTAATTACAAAGCAGGATGTATCTTGTTTGAAGATGAGCAGCAAGACCAAAGAGGATGAGAAGAGCATCAAGGAAGAGAAGAGAGTAGATGTGTAGAGGCATGAAAAGGTGTGATTGAAATTAAACGACTAAGGCTGGAAGCCGCCGTTGGTGAGGGGCTGTGAAGTAACCGACTGAATCAGATTAGAAGGGGCTGTTCAGAGTGATGCATGAGCTAGTCGTTCTTTTTACAAATCTTTTTTGTAGTGTTATATCAGAAAATGATGATATCAAATTCATTTTAGACTAAAATAGATTATGTAAGTGAGTTTATATTGTTAGAGGAGCTACATAGATATACTCTTTGCATTTTTATATTCTCAATGCCTAATCTAGGTGTTCTTTCATGCTTCTGCAGGTAGGAAGAAAAGAGAAATGTTCAATCTGATGGATTTGGATGATCTCTCAATGAAACTAGAATTTGATTGCAAATGGATTTGAAGATGTGTTGGACATATGAGAAGATGAAATGAGTAATCAAAGTGATGTTTGATTATCTGACTACCTAAAGGTGTGTTAATTTCCAACTTACAATTCTTGAGAAACTCATAATTTAATTGTTTTGATACTCCGTATAAAAATGGGCATAAGGACAGTCTAACGTTTTAAATAGAATTTGATGTATCATACACATGCAGTAATGCAGCTAGAAAAGTGATTATTTACTGATCATAATGGATGAAAGAATGCCTAGAGAAAACTACCAAGATAACAAGTAGTAGCAGTCATTTTAAAATCTATGGCATATAAACTAAAATACACTACAGAATTACTAGCCTGAGGGTGATTTATTGCTTCCTAATTATTGAATAAGAATATGTCTTGGAACATTCAAGATGTTTGTTTCAAGCATGACTGAAGTATTATATTTTGAACAAAAAAAGAATTGTTTTGGGAAAAAACTAAGGTAGGGCGTGAGTAGATATTCTCTATCATCTAGTGTTACTATGATATACCCCACAACTTGGCTCATTTTTCCTGGACTTTAAGAGTGACGTTGAATGTTGTTTTGTTGGTTTTACATGATTGATCGTGACTTTAAATTTGTTTAACTTCTTTGTTCGTACCATTACCTAGTATGCTTCTATTATTAGTATGGATCTCAAAGGCAAGTTTTTTGTATTATATTCTAATCTTGTTTTCATCCGTTATTTCAAAACTGAGACACACTGTTTTTTGGTTCCAAAAACAATAAGGACTTTGAAAAAAGAAAAAAAGTGGGCTGAAATTTTGTATGAGATATCCAAGACCGATCCCAGTCTTGACTTGACTGGGATAAGGACTTGTATTAGACTCATATACTTCAAGAATGCCTAGAGGATCACCACAGTCCCAAGCATATCCAACCCCAAGTTATGATGTCAAACCATGAATGCTAACATGTTGAAATTGTTCTTTTACAGAGGAGGGATACATATGAAGATTGAGGAAGAAATGAATCAAGTGGCAAATGATTCTACTCAAAGAAAGTCTTCTGTAAATGATTGAACAAAATAGTTCATGGTTGTGTATTAACATGAGCTTTTCTTTTAACTTATATGTAATTATTTTAATTTCAAGTACATGAAGTTAGATATTAGCTAGTAATATAATCACAGATTGGTGTTACTAATGTATGCAGGATGTACAATACATTTTGAGTTTGAGTTGGATAGTTATTAAATATTAAGTTATGTTACTTGTGTACATTCTTTTCGTTTAATATGCCATGGCATGAAATTTAAAGAAGTATATTTTTGTTTAAATTAATAATAATATAATTATAATAAGTGTTACATTATATTTACTAAATGTTACATAAAAAGAATTCAGCTTTATATGTTAGAAAGTGTTACCTTTGCATAGGTGGAAAATTGTTACATTTGCATGTTATTGTAACAGGTTAAATGATATAGTAACACTTTCATTAGACACCACAAAGTGTTACTATTGGTGTTAAATGTGTTACTAGCCGTTACAATAGATCTAAGGTAACGGCAGCGAATGTAACGCCAATAAACTGTTACAAATAATGTAATGTAACAGTTATTATAATCAAATGTAACAGTTTTGAATGTTACAATAGACCATTAAATGTAGTAGTGATTTTGTTACTAGTTTTATAAAAAGAAAAGTATTTCTTTCCCTGTGGATACGAACCTTACTTCATTATACTACGTATAATTGTTGTATTGTATTATTATTTTGAGTGCACACCGCGACAAAGTGCACGTCAATATGATATATATCTCAGTGTGTTCTTATAGATGTGTAAGTCTAAGTAGCTCTATTTAATTCAAGGCTCAAAAGCTAATCAACCCATATATCGTGTTTCAGAGCCTTAGAACCAATCATCAGTTATAACTATTTCATACACTTTCATTTCCATTTAAAGTAACAAATACGTGACTAAAGTTATTTATGTTTTTACTAAACACATTTCAATCACAAAATTATTATTTTATCATTCTATGTGATAGTCAAACTCAACCAAGTCTTATGAGACGAAAAGATATGTTAAAACAAAACGTACAACCGAATCGCATAAACGCATACTTTAAAGTCATATAGATATATATTCCTCACAATGAAATGAATGAATGGTTGACATGGAATATAATTGATTTGATAATTTTTAAAATATGTAAGATATTCCATTAAGTATTTACAATAATCCCATAATAATTTCGCATGTAATAGTTCTTTGCAAAAAAAGAACATTACTTTAATATTTGGCAAACACTCTCGCGCTTTGCGCGAGTAAACGCTAGTTAAACATATATGGAGTAGTCCGTCTGATTTAAAACATAAAGTGTGCATGTGTACTCGGTAATTTCAGTCTTGAACAAATAATATGAATTTAGACTAGATCTTTCAAAGTATATAGCTTTACAGAAATCTTTTATTCATATATAATTTTCGAAATCTATATTGACCAAGTTCGACTACTGATGTTTTTAACAGAAAATTATTTTTAAGGCCAAACTCGAGGCCAACCTCGAGCACATCGAGGTCGGTACCAGATCTGACCTCGGACACGGACGCAAAGCCAACTGAAGTCAATAGAGAAGGAATCACCACTACCGGTCAAATAGAAGACCACGCTCAAACCTTCTAAGATAAATTACTATACCCGAGCTCTCACCCCGTTTGCGGAGCTCGAGGCCTCGCTAGACAAACTGTGGACTTAGACATTTCAACAATCAAATACCATACGGAACTAAGGCCACATCACCAGCACTACACAAGGGCCACGTCACCATACCACAAGGAATCTCCCGGGTTGCACGCATGGGGGGCGCACTTACATTTTGGTACACAAAGGACAATTCTGTTACACACAGTACCAATCAGCCAGCTGTTTAGAGTATCTCTCCAATCACCTTTACACGTTTCACCATACTATTAGGTTAGTTAAAGTTAGTTTAAAGGATGGAGTAAGGAGGGAGCTGAGGCCATAAGTGTTGAGACGATGGAAAAGATATGATGGAGATAAGAGATAGAAGGGGAATGGGCACGTATCGCAAGAGAGTGAAGCCTTCTCCATATATACAATCTGGAGTATGTTATTAGGTTATCTATCGAGGATCTACATATGACCTATGATGAGATGAAGTTTAGGGTAACTTAATTTATTTTCAATTTGTTTAATGTTTTTTTTTCATTTTTCACATTTGCCCCATCTCATTTATGTTTAAATGTAGTATACGTGCTATTCAACCCTTGAAATCCCATATTTCTGGATCAATCCCTATTATCAATCCTCTTTGTTCCAATAGCGAAATCGGATTTGGATCACCCGAACCGGGGGGACACGTTAAGCCCGAATTGGTCACTGAACAGGTTCAATTCGTGCTCTTTTGGGCTCCAATAGGGTGGCATACTATTTGATCAATTGCTATACCATTAGCATTCCAGTGATTCCACATTTTCAGTTTTCTGCATCAGGCGTCTTGTCTGTCTGTCTTTTTTGCTCAAGTGCTCTGATGATCTCTACTCTTTAGTAGCTCCTCCACTGGGCTGGGTGAGTAGCTAGTACTAGTAGTAGTGTCCAAACAACACAACACACTTACCTTTATGGCTTTGCTTTGCAGGGTTTAATTTCTCCAGCAGAAAGATGCAAAAGGGGGTCCACTCACAAACCCACCCCCAAACCATAAAAGCATCCCCAGACTTTCTCATTTCTTGGCGGAGCAATAGAATAAAAAGACTCGGCAAGAAGCCAAAACTGCCCAAAATAGCACTATAATAAAAAAAAGAGAGGAAAAATCTGTTCTTTTTGTTGCCCATGGACTTCGATCTGAAGCAATGGAGAAACCAGGAGGAGTCAGAAGCAAAGGCACCAAGAATCATGCTTGATCTCCACTCCACCCCAACCACTCATGGGGGTGGGGGTGGGAGTGGGGTGTCATCTTTCTCTGCACTTCCATTGTTTGTATCTGAACCAACCACCACCAAGCTGTCAGCATACTCTCCTGATTCTACATACACTGCCACCATCAAAATTCCAAGTGAGTTTAACTTCTGCCTGTTTTTCTTTCTTTTTACTTGAGTTAATAGTGGTTTAATACAGTCATAACTTTTGGCTGGGGTTTTTTAAAAGGGGCTGGGAAAAGTTACTTCAGCTTGGGGCAATGGCAAGAACTTGAACTGCAGGCTTTGATCTTCAGACACATGATTGCTGGTGCACCTGTTCCTCAGGAACTTCTCCACATTGTAAAGAAAAGTTCTCCTCCATTCTATTTCCCTCACCATCTTCACCCACATCTCCACCACCCCCAATCTAGTAAGCTCAATCTTCTCTCTTTATCTCTCTTTTATGCCCCAAACCTATTACTAGTGTTTAATACTACTAATAGTATTATTCATTCGGGACCAACACATATACTCTATTTTAAATTCTTGAAAAATATTTTTTATTTCCTTAAATTTTAAAATACATAAATCTGATTTTTTTTACTATGTAACTTTTTTATTAATAAAGAATGAAATATATTAATGATCAAATTTGTGTATTGATAAACATGAATAATGGACCGTTCCAACTAAAAAGTAGTGGAGTAACAGAAGAAGTACGAAGTAGAATATAAATGTGCTGTGAAATGCAGTGATGCAGGCGGGGTACTGGGGAAGGGCGGCAATGGATCCGGAGCCGGGGAGGTGCCGGAGGACCGACGGGAAGAAATGGCGGTGTTCGAGAGACGTGGTCGGCGGTCAGAAGTACTGTGAGCGCCACGTGCACCGCGGGCGCAACCGTTCAAGAAAGTCAGCGGAGACTCCCATGCCTGTTTCTACTCCGACTGCCGGCGGTGGGTTGGCGGGTAAATCTGCGGCGGATGCTCAGCCGCCGTCATTGTCAGCGGCTGCCGATCCTTTGCCTTCCGGCGATCCCTTTCACGCGAAGCAGAGGTAAGCTACTTTGTCATTATTTCCCCTACTTCCCTGCAAGAGACATGACATTTGGGGATCACGTGTTTCCTAAAAGGAAGAAGTTTGTACCAAACTCTAATTAGGACGTCAAATCATATTGTTAGGCCTATTGGGTTAATTTTTTTTGTTGGAAAAACGTTTTACTGAAAATGCTTTTTAAAATATGTACGGAGTAGTTTGTTTGTCAAAAAATCATGTAGTTTGGAATAGTGGTTTTAAATTCCACATGATAGTTTTATTACTTGATACTCCATATTTAAATTGATGAGTTGTGCTGTGCCCGTCAATGGAAAGATTAGTACTCCTATTGATTAACTTTTATTTGATACGGAGTATGTTTTGGAACTACATTCCCCCTTCCAATTACTTTTCATCAACGTTTGACATGTAAGATTGGGGTCACATATGCCTATTTGACTCTAGTGTGGAGTCGCATAGATCTCTATAGAATTTTGATCAAAACATCTTACATTCTTAGCCATATCTTTGTCAGGACTAAAATAAAAATACTATATTTTTGGTACCTCATTTGTACCCACCTCTATTGTATGGTTCAAATGAGGTACATCAACCAAAACTCTTTAGTTAAAAAGCCAAACAAGTCTCCTTTCGAAGGCCATTTATGGATGACCCGTAATATTGAAAAATTCTCATTGTGCATGTTCTATGTACACTTTTTTGGGCACCTCCTCTATGTTACCTGTATACACAGTCAATTCAAAGATAACATCTTGAATGTACACATGTGTGTACAGAAACATCTTGAATGTGTAGACTGAAAGCGTGTACATCAAGAACGGTCTTATAATATTTTTATGGAAAAATTGATAGTAATAATCCCAACTATTGGCGGTCCGCTTATAATAATCTCAACTATTGATTATTTCAGAATAATTCCAACTTTAGGGACCGTCCGCTAATAATGGTCCATGATTAGATTTAACTCCTATAAAAATTGAATTTTAAATAGAAATTAAGTGTAAAAATTAAAAGTTGTGATTATATATAGGCATTACTTGCTATATCTTTTCTCATCCACTTGAGAAACTACAAGAATTTATTCTTAGGGACCATTATTGGCGGAAGGTCCGTAAAGTTGGGATTATTCTAAAATAATCAATAGTTGAGATTATTATAAGCGGACCGCTAATAGTTGGGATTATTACTATCAATTTTTCCTATTTTTATAACCAATATGAACCCCAAAGTAAATTTCAAAAACATGGATTTACCTCCGTCAAGCACATGATAGGTGATATGTATATACTCCTATTAGGCCAATATGTTGAGTACTTCCAGTGTGATACTCCGTACTACGTATTAAGTATCATCTTACCTAATTATTTCTAACTCTAAATAATTTCATTGTACAAGGCTTAACTAGTTAACTCACACATATCCCCTCCATTACGAGTTATATGTATTTTAGTTTAATATGTAGGACGATTTTAATAAAATAATGAATCCTGATTATCTATAGTGAGCAAGTTTTTATCAATGTGTATATTGTGGTTTTCTGGTAAGAGTGCAATAAATGAATAAATACAAGAGTGAGATTATTCATGCGTTTTATAATGCGAGCAATTTTTTTGCCGCATTATTTATTTTTGAGAGTGAGGAAATAATAAATTTGATATCCTATACGTATATCCTACTTTTGTTTTGTTCTCTTAGGCATGAGGTAGGTCCAGCAAATATAAGTAAGGATCTGGTTTGGTCCACCATTATGACCGGCGTGGTAGGCCGCCCTCTGATGCTTTCCTTTATCTGTTCGACAGCGCAAAGCATTTTTATTATGACTCTGAAAACTCACCCCATCCACTTGTTTTTCTAGGTAATAGTAATAATCATAAAATGTTTTTTTGTTTATCATTCAAACCTTGCTGTGATTGGACGATGTCAGATTCCGGTCCTCTACCCCTTCGCCTTTCTTATCCATGTAATTCCTTGTATTTCAACTCTAAATTACGGAGTATGTGATAAAATGTAGAAATTATATAGGGGTTATTCTTGGTGTATATGGGCAATTAGGGAGGTTTTGACATCAAGCTCTGTCCCTTTTTAAATGATTGTCCATGCACAGACAATTAGATGAGTTTTGTATACAACTCATGTACACTAAGAATTTGTCATTATATAATTGAGTAAAGGGTCAGTTTGGTACTTGAAGTTGCAAAAACGGGGTCAAATAAGTCCTTATATAGAAGATTCTGTCCGGGTGTGCCATTTGAGGTGACTTCCGATGGAATTTTTTGATAATTGTTTTTGAGCATCTTATTCATTAAGTCTAGTTCACTCATACCAAATTTCAGCTAAACATTCAATCGGGAAGACTTTCAAATAAATTCTTGAAGATAATTGCGCTTTTAACGACACAGTTATCTTCAAGAATTCATTTGAATGTCTTCCAGATTGAATTTTTATCTGAAATTTGGTATGACTGAACTAGACTTAATGAATAAGATGCTCAAAAAATTTCATCAAAAAATTTCACCGGGAGCCGCCTCAAATGGCAAGTTCGGACAGAATCTTATATATAAGGACTTACTTGATCCCTTTTTTGTAACTTGGAGTACCAAACTGACCCTTATCCCTTATATAATTATATAATAAGTGAAATTAAAGAAAGAAATGGACATATCTGGGGCGCATTTCACCGAATAAGACGATGGTGTTGCATTGTCACAACTCACAAGCAAGAGGTTCTGACTTCAACTTCAAACATTTACTTTGGGATTGAACCTTACTCTCCTTCTGCTAAAGTGTAATCAAAGCTTAACTTACATACTTCCACATAATTGTTCGGTTGGTTCTAAAGACATTCAGAGGTGGAGTGTCATCCTTTTTGTAAGAAAAAAATGTACAAAATTATTTCATACTTGTTTTCACTGGATTGGGACGACGTATTTTGAAACCACAGGATAATGAAAGTTGGTAAAGTGAAAATGTGAAATGAGATAAAGGATGGAGGGATTAGATTAACAAAAATTCTTTTTATACACATTTTTTGTACACAAATCTTATACACATTTGTGAGCAGGTATTTTATTTCTTCTTCACAGATGGATCATGTTTTGTCTTTGAATAAGCTAATAAGCTATTCACAAATACTCCCTCCGTCCAATTGGACTTTGCTAACTTTTCTTTTTTTGTTATCCTAAAAATTTTCTCGCTTTCCCATTAAAGTAACTTTTTTGTGGTTCTAATCATTTCTCTATTTTTTGCACAAACTTCAACCACACAAACGCATGCTCCTTCCGTCCCTTAAAATTTTGTCAATTTTCTTTTTTTGGATATCGCACCAACTTTGTCATTTTTACTTTTAAGTAAAGAATTTGTGGTTTCAGTTAACTATTTCGTTTCATCTTAAATTTCAATTACATAATTTTTACTTTATTAATCCTTGTATCGGTTAAAGTTCATAAAGTTTTAAGAATCGGAAAAGTATAAATTTGTGTGTACATTTTTTTTGTAAATTAAGGACTACGGAGTACTATATTCGCTTAGCTGGTGCAATGGTACCAGTAAAATGAATTCTGGTTGGCTGGTGGTCTATTCCCAGCTCTCCGTACTCTTTTACTGCGATGGTCTTACTGGTAAAAAGCAGGAATAAGACATGAGAGTTGATAAGGTCAGATAAAAGTTCAAAAATAGTTTGAGGGGATTCAAATACACGCAATTTGAAGATATTTTTCTCCAAGTCTACGTATATTATTGTAGACGAATGCTCAGGTCCATCCGGAGGGACGGGGGCTCCGTCTGAACTTTACTGTTTGAGGCGGTTTCCGGTGGAATTTTTTGATGAAATTTTTTGAGCATGTTCCTCATCAAGTCTAATTTATCCATACCAAATTTCAGTTCAAAATTCGATCAGAAAGACATTCAAATAAATTCTTGAAACATACTGCACATTCTGCGCACATATAATGTGCAGTATATACCTGAGCATTCCTCTATTAGTATATACTTGGTATATACGGGGTGAGCAGCAGAAAGAAATGGTTTTGGCATACTTTTCTTTTTCACACACAAAATACAGGATTCCTTTTCAAAATTGTGATCCATTAAGGCCTGTTATTTCCCCACATAGAGAGGCCATTTGAGAACACTGTTTTTTGGATTTTAAGTCAATTTTTTTACCAAACACGTAACTTTTGCTTTCGCGCGCTGAATTGTGTAATAAGTCGAAAAAGTAAGGTTGAAGTTATTTTTCAGGCTTTATTGCCTGATGTTACTATAGATGACCATTTTAGCTATTTTTACATATAATTTTTTCTTTATTTTATTAATAAAATATATTTTAAAAATAATTTTTTCTTAAATCAACAGAATCAGTCAATGCAGTCACTTCAGCCAAAACTTTATAAATTTCAGCAGAATCAACCAAATCAGTCGATTTTAGTGCTACTAAATAGGCTGATACCGTACTAACGTATATCCTTACAACTAGGGATCCATTATTAAATTGAGGGAGGTAAGAAATATTTATCATTAAATTTTATTATGTGCAGAGAGATGGAGCCCATTGTGAGACCAAACGGTCCATGGGAGGCCCCAAGTGACGGACGATCAAGTGGGCAAACGCTGCGCCGTTTCTTTGACGACTGGCCCAGACCACTTCAAGAGACTGAACGCGCCGCCGAAGCGGACGCCAGCTCCGCCACAAACCTCTCCATCTCTTTCCCTGGGAATGCCACTTCCGATTTCTCGCTTAAGCTATCCACCGGAGAAGGAATCAGCAACGGCCGCCCCGAGCTTCGTAACTCGTGGGGGACGAGCCAAGTGGTGGCATCAATGGGCGGCGGCCCGCTGGCTGAGGCGCTGAGATCCTCGACGTCCGCCTCATCTCCGACGAGCGTTTTGCATCAATTGCAGCAAAATTCTACTAGTACTATCACCAGTTGATTCACAAGTTGATGCTTTTGTTTGGAAAATTAGAAAAAATGTCAAGGCATTGTTAACTCTTTCTCCATTTACCTAACTCTGTGATCTATGAACGTATGATTTGCATTTCATGTGATGATTTTCTTTATGATTTTCTTATCGTGCTTTCCCAATATGTAGAATGATCATTATTATTCACCGTGAAAATAGTCACAAATGCTTTCATTTTAGAAAAAAGATTAAGGTACACACTTTTTGTACACAAAAAGTGTACACTCGTCTGTCCCCCACAGACAAATTGTCTGTCGCGAGATGAGTCGTCTGTCCCCACAGACAAATGCAGCCACTTCAGCCAAAACTTTATAAATTTCAGCAGAATCAACCAAATAAGTCGATTTTAGTGCTACTAAATAGGCTGATACCGTACTAACGTATATCCTTACAACTAGGGATCCATTATTAAATTGAGGGAGGTAAGAAATATTTATCATTAAATTTTATTATGTGCAGAGAGATGGAGCCCATTGTGAGACCAAACGGTCCATGGGAGGCCCCAAGTGACGGACGATCAAGTGGGCAAACGCTGCGCCGTTTCTTTGACGACTGGCCCAGACCACTTCAAGAGACTGAACGCGCCGCCGGAGCGGACGCCAGCTCCGCCACAAACCTCTCCATCTCTTTCCCTGGGAATGCCACTTCCGATTTCTCGCTTAAGCTATCCACCGGAGAAGGAATCAGCAACGGCCGCCCCGAGCTTCGTAACTCGTGGGGGACGAGCCAAGTGGTGGCATCAATGGGCGGCGGCCCGCTGGCTGAGGCGCTGAGATCCTCGACGTCCGCCTCATCTCCGACGAGCGTTTTGCATCAATTGCAGCAAAATTCTACTAGTACTATCACCAGTTGATTCACAAGTTGATGCTTTTGTTTGGAAAATTAGAAAAAATGTCAAGGCATTGTTAACTCTTTCTCCATTTACCTAACTCTGTGATCTATGAACGTATGATTTGCATTTCATGTGATGATTTTCTTTATGATTTTCTTATCGTGCTTTCCCAATATGTAGAATGATCATTATTATTCACCGTGAAAATAGTCACAAATGCTTTCATTTTAGAAAAAAGATTAAGGTACACACTTTTTGTACACAAAAAGTGTACACTCGTCTGTCCCCCACAGACAAATTGTCTGTCGCGAGATGAGTCGTCTGTCCCCACAGACAAATGCAGCCACTTCAGCCAAAACTTTATAAATTTCAGCAGAATCAACCAAATAAGTCGATTTTAGTGCTACTAAATAGGCTGATACCGTACTAACGTATATCCTTACAACTAGGGATCCATTATTAAATTGAGGGAGGTAAGAAATATTTATCATTAAATTTTATTATGTGCAGAGAGATGGAGCCCATTGTGAGACCAAACGGTCCATGGGAGGCCCCAAGTGACGGACGATCAAGTGGGCAAACGCTGCGCCGTTTCTTTGACGACTGGCCCAGACCACTTCAAGAGACTGAACGCGCCGCCGGAGCGGACAGACGAGTGTACACTTTTTGTGTACAAAAAGTGTGTACCCCTAGCAGGCCTCTTCATTTTAAGAAGGCTTTAAAATGAAAATAATCACAAATAGCGTTGGATACAATTGATTGTCGAGCTGTTAAGGTGAAATTTTGGTTGTTGCAAATGATTTTCGTATCTGAAATGGAGGAAAGAATACCAATTCCGGTAAACTCGTGAAAGTTACCCAAAAATAAAGTACTCACTTTGTTACGGAGTATGTCTCTATAAAAAGATTAAGATTTCGCTTTTACATTGTGTTATAACTTATATAGTAATTATTTTCTAAGTATTGCCTATTTAATTATGGCCAAGTGCTTAACCAAATGTCATCTAATTGGGCACCACTCCCTTATATCAAATTCTTCAAACACATCACATGAAACTACCTCAAAGTATAGGATACAAGTATATTTTTTATGCTATTCTATTAAGCATAAAAGTAGCAAGTAAATATATTTTATTTATGCATCCTAAAACTTAATTTGACCTTAAGGATTTACATTCTCCTACCTTTATTGAAACTTCCTTGACACTTAAAATAGATCTATGCATCTCACAAAATTAGGATGTCTTTTACTGTGATTGAAATTTTCTGGTCTTGTCTGATCTGACAGTGTCTGATCTCTGTGTAATTACAACTATCGATGTCTGATCTTGTCTAGTGTTAAATTGACTGAAATACGTGCAAGTAAAAACATCTTTACAATAAAAAACTAAACAAGTCAAAATCTAAATGCTACAATTTGAAAAAGTGAAGTGGAAAGAAATAGAATAACTTCAGCTACGTAGCAACGGTCCACAGACCACTCCAACCTCATTGACCATCAACCCCTCAGTAAAAGAAAACTAAAGCATATCTCAATTTGATCATTAACCAAAATAATGAAAAGAGTGTAAATCCCATTTGTCCAACCACCAGAAAAAAGAATGAAGGGAAAAGTACGGAAAAGTTACTTGTGATTGGGTCCGTTTTCAAATAGGGTCATGTGTTTCATTCTTTATCAAAGTGTTTCATGTGTTTGAATTCCGTTATCACAAGAGGGTCACGCCGTTAAAAATGTCTGAAAAAGACCGTTAAAAGTAACTTCGATTTTCAAAAGTGCCCGAAAAATTAAAAGACAAATACCGGAAGGTGCGTCTCAATAAGATGACCGCTAAGCCATCTTTCTTTTTTTTGTTTTTAGCCACCCTTGTCACCGAAAAGTCCACCGGAAAAGTGATATTAGCGAAATTATTTTTAAAAAATAATTCAAACAAATCTGAAAAATCCAAAGGCGAATGTGGTTTGGGGGTCATCTTGACGAGGCGCACCTTTCGGTATTTTTCTTTTAATTTTCCGGACACTTTTAAAAATCGGAGTTACTTTTAACGGTCTTTTTCAGACGTTTTTAACGGCGTGACCCTCTTGTGATAACGGAATTCAAACACATGAACCACTTTGTTAAAGAATGAAATACAAGACCCTATGTAAAAACGGGCCCAACCACAAGTACCTTTTCCGTACTTTTCCCAAGAATGAATATAATTACCTGTTTCACCATCTACTAGAAAGAGTAACAACTAACAAAATCATGGGTTTAATCACCCACCTCAAATAGGACTCTTTTGAGCATTTACATTCCTCTCATACCAAGACGGCGGTTCAAGGAGGTGGATGGTTGAGATTGGGTAGCCATCATCTCGCAATGTCAAGATCCTAAAAAAGTTAGATGGTAGAAGCCCTTTTTATCAACAACAAAACTCCGCCACCCAATCGATGCTAGTTTTATACTCCCTCCGTCCCATAATTATCTTCATTCTTTCCTTTTTGGTCCGTCCCAAATTTATCTCCTCTTTCTTTTTTTAACAAAGAATTTGTGGTTCACAACTATTCTTACACATTTCTCTTTCCTCTGCACAACTCTCCACCACACATTTCCCACTTTCTTAATCTCCGTGCCCGGTCAAAACCGAAGTTAATTCTGGGACGGAGGGAGTATAAACTCTTGTTGTGGGAGTACTAGGTTTTATTTACATATGCATAACAAAATATTACTCCCTCCGTTCTTTAATAAAAGTCCTTCTTTCCTTTTTGGGACGTTTTTTTTATTTGTCCTCCTTTCCATTTAAGGAAAGTTTTTACTTTAAATATACCTTTATACCCCCACTTTTATTACCATTACCCCTTTCTCTTTCCTACTTTTTCATTTACCCACTACTCATTACACCTTTTACACTACCCCTACTATTTTCCTCTTAAAACCCGTGCCAAAGCCTAAGAGGACTTATATTAAAGAACGGAGGGAGTACAAAAGTTAAACTAAAAAAACTTCAACATTGTCTTGTTACAATGAAATGTCACGTAAAATAACAGAGGCATAAGTTCCAGGGGTGGGTTCGGTTCTTTCGGTTCGGTTTTGACCTAAACCAAATACGGAACCAAAGTAAAAATTCGGTTCGGTTTCGGTTCGGTTTTACACTCCAAAACTTGGAACCACGGTTTGATTGGTTCGGTTTGTTTCGGTTCGGTTTCGGTTTTTTACTAAAAATTTGTCATTTGATTTAAAATTGATATAAGGTGGAGGGATCAAATATATTGCATAAAAATGCAAGCATACTTGAACAAATAATGAAAATAACAAACAAATATGTCTTGAATTATATGAGTATGCAGGAGAGATAAAAGTGTGTATCTATTCTTAATTTACATTGTTTGTGACTAGTTTGAAAAAAGTTTATGAATACATACGTCCTATGTGATATAGTTGAGATGAATATTTATTTCTTTTTATCAATATAAAAAAATTAAGTTACAAAAAAAGTTACATGAAAATAAAATTTAATTACTACTAATAACCAGTAAAGACATATAATCATGCAACACATTGCAACATACATACATAAAAGACATAATAGATCAATGTAGCTACATTATTATGGGTAATGAATGTGTAAATGCATTTATAAACTAGACTAAAATAAGCATAGCACAAAATTTATTTCTCTAGCACAAGAAATTCAAAGATTATTGATGATATTAAGAATAATACTTACATTTAACAAATAAAATTTCATATTTTATTTTTGTTCGGTTTGTTCGGTTCGTTCGGTTCGGTTTTGAAGGGTAAAAACCAAAACCGAACCAAACTACTACGGTTCGGTTCGGTTTTTTACATTCGGTTTCGGTTTTTAGCGGTTCGGTTTTATTTGGTCGCGGTTCGGTTTAATTTGATTCGATTTTCGGTTTTCGGTTTTTCGGACCCATCCCTAATAAGTTATCCAATCAATGATCAAAACCATAATCTGCACCCGGGCAGGGTAACTTTTCCCTGCACACAGGGATCCTGTTGAAACATCAAATTGCAATGGCACGTTGTAGTGCTGAGTAATTGAACTTATCAAACTCACCACATCGAGGAATTGTGCTAAATGCAACAAACAGCAGTTCGGCGAAATTTCAACCCATTATCAACAAAAACTACTTTAAAAACTACTTTAGAAACCAAACTTAATTGCACTAATTAAAGAACACTGTGTAGTTGTAACAAGAATATCATGTATATAATTTATCCAATCGATGATCAAAACCGCCCAGGCCGTCTTTTCCTTCCCACCCTAACCAGATCACGCCACCTGACTATAACAATCTGTGTCGCGAACGATCTTCATTGAAGGGAGTATGATGGCAGCCACGGGATTATTTTCTAGGCCACCACCTTCGTCTATTATCAGCCTGAGGCCTTCAATGTGGAGCTCACCATGGTGGCCACTTACCACAACTGTTGGAGTTTTAGTCAGTTCCTACACACAATAGATGAAACCTGATATATTACCATATGTTTAATTTGAAAAGATCATTAAACAACAATACAGTCTAACTAAAAAGGAAGTAGGGTTGTTTCATGATCAACCACCTCAGGAATATCCCACACATCTTTCCTTCCACTAAGAGCTGCTACTTTTGGGATGCTTGTGTCTTTAGCTTTGAGAGCTTTAATCTGTTCTTGAACATCATTACCTTTCTCTAGTCCAGCATGAACAGCAATCAATTTGCAATTTTTAGTTCCTTCTTTGGTTTCTACTGACACATTATCCTACAGACAAGTAATGAGTATTTATGATAAGCTTTTTGATTTGCTTATTTTTAATCATTAAAGAGGTCAGTTAATATGAGACCGTGGGAGTATTAGTTTTAACAAAATCACATATCCTTTTGAAGGTTTTTATGGTATTGTCATTGCAAGAACCAGGAAAAGCTAAAGAAGGACTACAATCATACATAGGAAAAAAAATATTTGCAAATTGTCTAAGGGAATATATATTGATTTAAAACGGACTGAATTCTGAGAGAGAGTTCAGCATCTTTGATATATAATAGTCTCCATATATTTTACCAACTGTCTCTTATAATAGTCTCTTAAGTTTCCATATATTTTACCAACTGTCTTATAGAATCTGTTTGCAGGCAGGGTTTGGAGGGGAAGGGTTTGGAAGACTTGATGGGCTTAAATTCTGTCTTGGTTTTTTC